TAGACTCCAGGCCCTTCATCAAATCGTCCAGTGAATCCTATCCAAAACCGCAGGGCCCTAGCAAACACTTCAGCAACTGCACTCCAGATAAGAGTGATGCAAACAAACCCTCAGCGCCAAAGAAGGGCTTCCAGGAGGAACTGGCAAGGACAAGCACCCTCCACCGCTGAGCTGCTGTGTACTGAAAAAGGAGGGGGAGGACTAGCTGCCCCAAACACTCACCCTCCGGTGTGGGAACCCCGGAGGCTGACGGGGGGCTGCTCACAAGTACCCCAGAAAGGCTCTATGCTCAGTTAAGCAGAGCTGCGCAGCACAGGGGATTGGACAGCTCCGGGAAGCTGGTTTCTTAAAAAGATTAAACGCTGCAGAATGCGACTTGTGGCTGTTTTACGCTTCTTAATCTTGCAGCACATTCAGCCCCCGGGTTACATTTCCAAGACTCGGCTCCTCAATGGGGCCCGTGCGTTTAGCAGCGCCCAATCCGACTGGGCGAGAAACCGTCTGGGGCCAGACCGTGCTCAGGGCTGGCTGACAGGGGATGGGGTGGGTGGGATTTCGCCCCGTCTCACGGCAGGGCAGGACTTGCTGTCCCTGTGCCCAGAGGGGGTCTGGGACCCCGGGAGTATGAAGAGAACTAACCCAACGGGGACTCGGTAGCCCCACAGGGCGGTTCTATGTGGCGAGGAGGCAGATTCCCACCGCCTGGACCGGGACCGCCTCGCTGCGCGGAAACGGGGGGACGGGGTATCCGGGAAGCAGAGCAGGCTCCTGGCGAGCCCCGGGGAACAGGCGCTGGGGCCCTGATCTGACTCCCCGCCTCCCTCTGGCCAGGGCACAGCCAGCAGCTGGGGTGCCCAGCACAGCCCTGCCCGGGGGCAGCTGGCGGAAGCAAAGGGGACAGAATGTGCAGGGGAGGCCAGGTGCCCGCAAAGGGCCAGGGAAAGGAGGCTCCCGTCCCGAGGGGCCTCTGCCCTGAGTCCTGGCCTCGGCGAGGGAAATACAGAGCCAGCCAGTCCCACACGCGGCTCCCCTGGGAGGTTAGAGCCTGGGACTCAGCCCCTCCCCAGAGCAGAGACCCTCCGGCCCAGCCCCTCCATCAGCGCCCTGAGCCCTGCGCAAGGGACCGGGCTGGGAGGAAGAAGCGTCCCCGTGGCCAAGATTTAATTGGGGGTGGGGGCGCGCGTCGCCCAGAGCTCCCGGTCTCGGGAGGGGGGGGGGCTGTGCCTGGCGATCCGCATTCGGTTTGGGCACCTCCAAAGCGCAGAGCGACCCGCGCCGGGGATGGGGGCTGTGCCAGGCTCCACCTGCCCTGGTCGGGCCGGCTCCAGGACGGCGGGCGGCCGGCGCAGCCCGGCTCTCCACAGGGACGCCACCTGCCCGCAGCAGGACCCTCTGCTCCGCACAGCTGGGCTGCCAGCTGGCCTGGCGCCGGCACAGCTCCCACGTGTGAACGGACCGGGGGCGCGGCGCCCCCTGGCGACGCCCTGTGGGCACTGCGCCGCTAGCGCCCGGTCAGACCCCCAGCAGGTGCGTCCCGCTGCACCTCCCGAACCCAGGGCCCCGGCCCTAAGAGGGCAGCACACTCACCTGGACAGCGGGTGCGCCTTGTGTGCGGTGCCGCGCAGCCCTCTTGCCCCGGTGCCTCCTGCCTGGCCGGCTCTGGGCAGAGTGGGGCTGGGCGGCTCCCGCGCCAGGGAGGAAGCGCTGGGGGCGGGGCCCAGCTGCCTCATTTGCATAGACACCTGCCCCCGGAGTCTGGCGTGCACCCCGGGGTGGGGCGGGCACCCCGAGGGGGGAGCGGGCGGGCGGGCTATAAGAGAGCAGCCCGCGAGCTACTGCCAGCACTGCTGGACCCTGAGCGCTGCCCTGCCGGACAGGTAAGCGAGGGGCAGGCGCCCATCCTGGGCTGGGGCTCCAGGCAGCAGGGAGATGCTCTCCCGGCCAGGGCATTTCTGCCCGGAGCGGACTGCAAGGGAGAAGCCAAACACCCCGAGCTTCTCGGAGTTGCCACAGTGTAGCCCGTGGGGACTGGCTGTGTCCCTGCGTGAAGATCCCTGGGGGCATGACCCGCAGCCCCTTTGCCTGACCCCGCTCCCAGGGGACGCGTGGGTGCAAGGACCGTGAAGCCAGGTCCGGGCTGGCCCTCCCAGGCAGGGCATTGGCCATACCCGAAGAAGCCCTCGGCGGCCGGGTGGGATTTCATCACTTGCCTTTCCCGTCCGGGGCACCCCAGAGCCAGCTACACCCGCTTCTAGCCCCGACAGAAATTGCCAAGGGAGAATTTTCGTAGGACGCTTTTTGCAGAGCTGGGAAACAAACCGGCCCGTGCCCGCGGCGGGATTCGGAGCGAGATGTTGGTTCCGATTCAGTTTTCAACACCCCCCCCCAAATGCCGGGGTTTGGTTTTCATTCCCCGCCCCGCTTGCTCCCCCTTGATTCCTTTTGCCGCTGAATGGGGTAGGATGAACCGTGCCAGCCAACTTTGCTTTCTTTTCTTTTCTCACTCTAACTTTTCAAAGCCCCTTCACCCTTTGAACACTGTCAGAGCCGCAAAGTTCACACGTTTCATTTTTAACACCTCTGCGATTTTTCCCCAGCCGTCTGAAAAGTTTCAGGGGAGAAAAAGAAAAAGAGGAAAAACTAACCCCCCAGGTCTAGAAATCCTGGATCCAGCGCCAGAGAGGGTGGAACCCCGCCCCGGCTAGAATTTTGAAAGTTCAAAGAATTTTCCGTTTTCAAAAAGTGAACTTTCCATCCGGAATGAAGCCAGATGAAAATGGTTGTTTGGCTTTGAAATTTCTCATTGAGAAATAATAATATAAAAAAATTAGAAAGCAACATTTTCCTGTGGGAGTTGCAGCATATATTTATAAAACCCCCTTTTTCATCAGGAAACATTTTCAGTTCAAATGTAGCGACTTATAACGGCTGAATAGTTTCATCAGGGGAAATCTCGGCAAGTGGGCAGGGGCTGATGGTTTCTGAACTGAGAAAATTACCTCGCATGATGAGGCTGGGGCCGGCGCGTTGGGTCCAGCGCAGATTCCTGCCCAGAGCGGGGCATTTCTGCGCGATCCAGAGAATGCCCTACTGCCGTTCAATGATCAAAGTTTGACGCCGTCTGATCGGAGTATCGGGTTTTTCTCAGCATCGCAGAGCTCCCTGAGCGGCTTTATCAGAACCCGATTCCCCAATTCACACTTGCCCTGCGAGTTACCCCACTGGAGTCCCTGCTTGAGAAGGCGAGTGGGTTCTAACTCAGGGCTTGTCTACACGGGGGAATTGACCGGAAAAGCTCTTGTGGAATTATTGCTCTGGAATAAATGTAATTTTATTCTCGAATAATTACTCCGCTTTGGAAATGCGTTAATTATTCTGGAACAACGTGATTTCTCCTCCGGAAGAGAGGTTCTACATGGGAGCTATTGTGGCGTAGCTTATTCCACCGTAGCTATTGCGGTCAATTTCTCTGTGTAGACAAACCCTTAAACACACGGAGGGATCCCAATCTAGCGCATAGTAAATACGCTAAATTCCTTTTTATAAAGGTCAGAGGTCTTGTCGGGTGTTTATTCGACTGAGTTTAGGTTCCCGTGCTTTGCCCCTTCTAACCTCCACCTATTTTCAGTGAATTGGAATATTCGGAAACTTTCCCCTTTGGGGCTGAACTGTTCCGGTGTCTTTCCGGGGAAACGCAATGATTTTTGCTGGAAAGTTTGAGCAAAATCAGTTTAGCTATTTGTGAGAAAGAGGAGAGTGACAAACAGCCCGGACTATCATGAGATAGAAATACCCTTTTTAAATCTGTGTGTATTTTCTAAAGAAATCACACAACAATTTTAAGAGATAATCAAACTGGACAGAACAGACCTGGCTGCCATGAAAACTGATGGCAGATATGTATCTAAATCTCCTAGGCAGCTTTAGAAAATGCCAGCTAATACACCTGTGCTCCAGCCAGTCTGGGGGGAGGGGGGACTGTTTAGAGCTGGTTTCGGAGTAGCAGCCGTGTTAGTCTGTGTCCGCAAAAAGAACAGGAGTACTTGTGGCACCTTAGAGACTAACAAATTTATTAGAGCATAAGCTTTCGTGGGCTACAAGAAGTAGTGGGTTGTAGCCCACGAAAGCTTATGCTCTAATAAATTTGTTAGTCTCTGAGGTGCTGCCACAAGTACTCCTGTTCTTTTTGTTTAGAGCTGGGAACTCCGAGCCAAATCCTGACTCTGCCAATTGCTCCCTCTTTGACCTCGGGCAACACCTGTCACCCCTTTGGCGCGCATACAGGATTCCTGCTCTGCCAGGCGGGAACGGGGGGTTATTTGCTGCTGGTAGCGATGCCCAGCCCACCAATGGTATTTGAGACCCAGGGGCAGGAAACGGAGCTAATACAAAGCCAGCGTTATAGGTGGAGAGCCAATGCATAGCCCAGCCTGCGGCGGGTCTGAGCGCCTGCTCGCCCGGGAGATCGCTCGCTCCTTCGGGTGCAGTGCAAGGTGCACCGCAAAATACACATGCCCTGATTCCCGCTGCTGCAGCGCCAGGCAGGTCCCAGCTAGTCCCCGCGGAGCGGTGGCTGCCTTAGGGTCCGGGCTGTCAAGGGGAAGCGGGAGGCTGAGCAGCGGGGAGCAGAGCGGCGCTCCGTGGGGACGTGGCTCTCCCCTCACCGTCTGCTTCCACAAACCCAGCCCGCCCCGAGAACGGGGCCGAACCTCCCGGCGCTCAGACTAGCGGAGCCTTTGTCCGGCGCGTTTCCTCTGGCCCCAGGCAGCGTTTCCTGGCGCCGCTCGGGAACTCAGCCCAGCTCAGTGCGGAGGAGCCGGGCAGGGAGTCACCCCCGAGCCCCCGGAGAGAGTTGCAGCAGATGGTCCTGGGGCCATCCCAGCCCTCTCCCCAGGGCCTCCCACAATGCCCGAGGCGGTGCTTAGACGCCCTGGCACTGGGCACGTCTAAGTCGCTCTGTCTCTCTCTCAGGTTTCCTGCCCTCTGCCCAGCCGTGCACAATGACTCTCTTCGATGGCGTCTACCCCTTCTACCCTCAGCCGAGGAAGGCCTACGCGTTCGATGTCAGCTCCATCATCGTCATCGCCGTCTTCCTATCGCTGGGGCTCAGCTTCCTGCTCATCCTGCCGGGGATCCGGGGCCGAGCGGTGAGACCCCCAGCCAGCCCCCAGCCGGTCCCAGAGAGCCCGAGAGCTCTGACCTGCCACACCTAACCCATGCAGGCACTGACACCCCCCAGAGCTCTGCCAGGACACCCCAGCCCTGCCCTACAGCGCCCCGCTAGTCCTGCACTATAGCCCT